AAAACTAATTTGTGCTCATTGTCTTCCAGTAGAACTAGTGCGAATCATAAAAAATTAAAGTAATTCTAGTGTTCAGTTATTAGAAGTCCCCAAAAGCCTTTACAGCGGAAAATATGGGATATGAATAAATGTAATTTACGCCATGCTTCAGCGTGAATACAAGAACAGTACCACAGACATCACATTATCATGTCGGGAGTCATAAGAGTATCTATCACACTAAGATGTCATGCTACCTGTAATTTCTATCCTCACAATTCGAAACCGAACCCTAGCTAATAACTTAATGATTATAATTACAACGCAGGAACCAATTAAAATCGTTCAACACTTTATTACAAAGGATACATAATTTAAATTCATATGTACAACTAGCGGTATGCTACGTTACATCCTCTTAAATTATTCAGTACTATTGACCACAATTTCGATCGTATGAAATTTCGACAATACGCTTAAGGTTAATTGGTTTTTGCTATATTTTATTACTTTGGAATTTCCGTCAGAACTTCAGAATATAAACGTACCCTATAAATAACTAATGGAGTCAACATCAAATATTTATAGAGAAGTGTAGATTATAGTGAAAAAAATAGACACGAAGATAAAATTATACATCACATCTTATTATTTTATCTCATGGTTTCTGTTTAACTGTACAGTTCGGCACGTACCACTGCCTTGTTCCAGTATTACTAATGCTTTCGTCTATCGTCCGGTGAAGCTGCGGTCAACAGCTTTAGAGTAGTCCGAAAAAAAAGAAGCTATACAATTCTTTTTTTTTTCGGACTACTCTAATGCTGTTGGCCGCAGCTTCCTCGGACGATAGGGGGCGAGTACAGAAGGCACTCCAAACCCGCGAATGGACTTATAGAGCGGCTGAGGGCCTACTTCTTGACGGCCTACTACGCCTGACGGATATGACTTTAGTCTGAGGCCACCGCTAGGGGTTTGAGCCTCAGCTAAAGCCGTCGTAATTTCTATCCCCGTTTGAATTGGAAGGGGGGGTCGATCGGAGGGGGCCTTGTACAGCTGCAATAGAAGGTTCATATCAGATTTTGTTGGGTAGATATGTAGAGCAACACAGAGACAGATTAGAGACAGATTAGTGAAGGTAAGTGTTGATATGCATCGGAAACGTACACCCATGCCACGTCTTGGGATCTATTCGTTTCCAAGTTTCTTTCCCTGCTACACATGAATATAAATCCATTGAATAATCAAATCATATATTGTTGATCTATGACGTATGTGTCCATAGTTAATGATTAACGTCATATAATAGATCAATGTTACGATAATACGGTTATATTTAGGTCTATCATTGTATTATTTTTATTATAAACTGTACAAAGGCAGTATTAGTACTTATTTATAAAAATATGAATAATATATATAGTTCTGAATAACGTCAGTATCTGAAATATTATTGGTAGGTTGAACTTTGATCTTGATAATTCTATGCTATAACTTTAAATATAGACTTAGTCGTTGACACTGTTTCACCTTTTTAAACTGTCTTTTAGTTGATGGGTGTGTGGTGTTACAATTATAGGGTACAGAGGCATTTTAGTCATTTAGAATATAAGCACATGAGGGGTATCAAAGGCGTCACAATATGTCATGCTGACAGTGGTACTATTTATGTACCATAAGCGATGGTTACTAGAAAGTTGACAATTCAAGTACAAAATTAACACAATCGATTAAAATAGATGTCTTTACTGCATATAGATATTATAAGCACTTAAGCCTTTTTTTATATAGATACTACTAGGTACTACGATGGTGGCAAACAAGCACACGGCCCATCTGATGGTAAATGGTTACCGTAGCCTGTGGATAATATATATATACAAGTATAGCCATAAATAAATAAAAAGGCCTAGTTTTGATTCAGAATTTAAAACTTATTGATATAACTTGGTAAAATATACATTGTAGGATAAAACGATGTCACTTTTTCTGTTACAAACTACAGCTACAGCTAGCTAGTATATTGTATGAGTTGTAAGTGAAATTACAATTACAATAATGGACGTAGATTATTATTAAATATGAAATATCAGAAACATAATGATTAGCGTACTAATTATTATAACAGGTCAGTATATGTACATCAACGACGAAATGAGAATTTCCAATATAATATTCATGGACTGAATTATGACATAATCACCACAATATAGAAAACTTAGAGCACCGTCAAGTCATGGACTACGTGGAAACCGTAACTTGTCCACTACAAGTGGCTTTGGGCTACAGAAGAATACTGACTGAAGGAATTAGTAATAGATAAAAATATTGTAGTAAATGTCCTATGTAATAGCTTTTAAAAGATAATAACATTAAAAAAAACATCTATTCAAAAGAGCAATATACAAGTTTCTTGCTTATTCTTCTTGTGATGAATCTGCATTCTGAATGAGTGATAGAATAAAAAATCTGACTGTTCAAAAGTGCTTATAGTGCTTTTATTTGAATAAAGATTATTTCTATTTCTATTTATACAAATTATTTTCGAGAGCATCGATCCTGGTTTACAACCGCAATAAAACTCAAAGGTCCCGAGTTCGATTCTGACCATTACTTTGTGTAAATATATATTTCTGATTATCTATAATGTGATGGAAATACCGATATTAGGTAAAAAAAAGCTGTACAAGCGCTAAAAGAAGCAATAGAAGAACCGGCGGTATCTTTGCCACAGTGAATTCAAATATACTCAGCGAAATGTGGACATGTCAAGTGTTTCGTTCACTACAATGTCGATAATGGCAGCTTCTCTTCTCCTCTGTGCTAACATAGTATATTGCTATTGTGAACATAAAAAGGTATTGCTATTAGACTACATTAATGAAATAGCTATTCCGATTTATGTTTTACTACCAGCAATTTCATCTGCTTTTTTTTTGAGATAAAAGATTAGCCCTATCTAACATTAAGATCAAACATTATATATGTTTGTTACCAAACTCCTTAATCTTATTTCTTATTACTAATCGACTTAACCGATTTTTATTAAATTTAGTGTGCATATCGGGTAGGTCTGAGAATCAACCAACACTATATAGTTTTCAAACCCACAATGATAAGGGTAACTCAGGCTATATATTATTTAACATTTTTTTTTATTTTACCCAAATATTTCGCCCTACTACCACCTACCCCTATTTTTAATTACAAAATTATATAGTAAAACAACGTTTGGTGGTACAGCTAGTATTGTATACTATTAGTGTAGTCGTTGAAAATTAACAACAAGTATATACTTGTATTTACAATTACAATATTAAGAATGTATTATTCCATTTATTTTATATCATATGTAATTTTGATTCTTGACTATAATAGATACTATTTCTATCGTAATTTACATCTAAATAGGTATTCCAATAACGTAATCATATTCTATATCTACTGACAAACCCACGTGCGAATCGTTAAATAAAACGTTCAATATCACGAAAATGGTGTAGAGGTTATGAGATAGCATATAAGGTGACAACTGTCGTTCGGAAATCTGCTAAAGGTATAAGACTATGACTTTAGTATTACGTCGGTACCCAATGAACGAGTTTAGTTTGAAAAGAAAACGATGCTGCAGGAAGTCGTGTGCCAAATAAACTTGAAATATAAAGTGAAAATCGCTATTTTTCTTGTTAAGCTAATTCAATTCTTTTGCCAAATGTTCAAATGTGCATGAAGTTAGTATTATTAATCGTTTCGGCGATAAATCTATGTGACTAATTTAAGATAAATGGTATACGCTAATTGATTATTATAAACGTTTGTCACTTCTATTAGGAGGTTATATGCAAAAAAACCTAATATCATTTATTACCACTAGTGGCCCTAGACGTTTGTCGTTTCTAGTGCCTCGCCCCGACTTTGCTCGGGTACAGCTGTGTGAGTTTTGTATTCCAAAAATGTAATTGTATATAATGGAAGTAGTAAAGGTAAAATCGGTCCAGTGGTTCCAATGTTACTTTCATCTTTACAAATTCCGCTCTCTTTTTATATATAGTAGGATTAATAGTATTTTAATTCAAAATCGCTAGTTTGCCATCACGAAGGTCGCGGTCTTATTATTCGCTTAATGCGAGCTATCGTAATCGAAGTTAGAATCGGCAATAGAATAATATCTTGAACACATACATCATTATCCTTGACAATCTACGGAAAACCTCTGCATTGGCATAGAGTAAATGCGACTGTAAATACATATATTTGGAATACAACATGTAAATATTGTTAGGTATTGTTTTTCTGACAACAAAGCAGCGTATTAAAATATTACAAAAAAATCTTTTCATTATCTTGTCCTTTTTTAAAGCAATATGGAAACCGATTATTATATTTTGCTATTAAACTTGTTGCACATCTTTAAAGTAAAAACAAACATATTTGTGTATATTTCTTTCAATTTGAATCTCTAATGAAATTAAAGTTATACTAGCCTAGATCTAGCGATATTTATAAATTACTTAAATGTAATTAATTAGAATAGAATAGAATAGAATAATCAACATCAACAAAATTTAACGTCTAAACAAATCATGAGATTGTCAAACATTATAAGGACGGCAATATCTGATTAGTATTTTCGCTAGTAATATGCTAGCGAAAACACTATTCATAGATTTATGAATTTTGCAATTAACTGTAAGTATTGTACCTTGTTTATAATTCAGTCGGCTTTATTTCATAAAAAATGAGTATTGCATAGATAATTTGAGATAATTTAATTTGTTTTCCGTTCCAAACAATTGTTAAAAGACAAAAAGGCAATTAAAATTTCCCTTTTACATTCTCCCGGAATTGTCGAATGAAAGTAAACAGAGTATAAAAATTGATGGCTAAATGTAAATAGTCGATCCGGGGTAACAGTTATTAAATATTCAAGCTCAGTGAATATTTAATAACAGTTCCTTGTATTTAGATATGTAAATAAATTTTCGTCTAACCATTTTCGATACTAAATGTATGCATTAATTTACCTTTTTGGGATACAATCCTTTCTTTGTTCACTTCATAATTTAATTTCCGCACTTATCAAGTGTCCGCGGCGTGATTAAAGACAGACCGGATCGGCTCGTAATCAGGAAATAGCGATCTACAAAAGTTTATAAGGTTGTGTTTATAGTGATAGAATTATGGTTTCACTGCGCCTGAATATGTGAGAGCACGGCAGAGTGCCAGACGTCTAGACCCGGCTGAACGCTACGGTCACTACAAAGAACAGCGTGTGCGTGAAATAGAGTCTCTGCAGCCATGGCCGGGTGTTCCGGGCGTCTGCCGCTTACCGACTGACGTTGGTGTACACGACACATCTGCATTTAAGAAGCCGCTATCGTTATGCGACTAATCGATTGGTCGGAGCGAGTGAAACTGTCTGCTATCCTGTTCCTTAAGTCCTCTCACTCCTCACTCGCGCATGCTCAATGCACGTTCATTCTGTTTTAAAAGTGGAGAAAAGTAAATAAACTCATACGAACTGTTTGTCAAGAGGAGAGGATGCAGTGGAAACTGGAATTACACACCAAATTGCTATGAGACAAACATTGCTTTATGATGGTACTTCATTTCGGTGTTCGTTATAAAAGTGAATTTTCTAGAATATTTTCAGTGGTAAGAAAAAGCATATACCGTTAGTAAGCTGCTTAGTAAGGAATGACGAAATGTCACTTGTTGCGCGGTGACTTTGTTCTGCCGATGAAAGCCACGCACGCCATAGCATGCCACTTCCTTCTGTTATTTTCTGGTAATTAATTTGAACGTATTATACTCACTTAAATAGCATAATCATCGTCTTGTTTTGTATTAATTTGGTATATAATAAATTATGACAGGTGACAGTGATAAGTAGAAATTACTAGTTTCATTTTATGAAAGTTACTGTTCCGTAGTATGCTACTTTAGATTGGTTCGGTTCAATTTTAGGTAAATTGATTAGAATTCGTCGCCGTTTCCCACCAATTCATTTTATCAGTTCGAACTAGAACCTTTTATGCGTTTAGGTCGTCATGTCATCATTTTGTGGGCCAGTTTCGGTAACCCTGTTCATCTATAGGCACCCACGGGATTACGGTGGACTTTAGCTGCCTAATCTCATTTAAGCTTGTCTATATTCAGGCCTCCTATTTTGTATTTAGTCAATGGTATGGGGTAATATTGATTGACTAGAAATACTTTGTTAACAAATTTGTTGATTTTTTAGAGTCTTATTCGGAAATGTGGCCATGGGAAAAAACCTATATCGTCGGCAATAGAAATATTTTCTATCTTTTCAATATACAAGATACAATGTAATACAAAATGTGACTGTAAACTTTTTTTCCAAGCACGTTGGCAATTTACAGATAATCTCTTCAAGAGCACTTTTAATAAAGTACTATTAATTTGTTTTATATATACTGTACCATATTTTAATACTCATGTCCTAATAGTCGTAATTGATGGATAAGACTATATTGGATAATAAAACAATTTTGATAATAATAGGACATACGTAAAAAAATATAATATCAACTTAAAAGTTAACACATAATTCGATTAAATATCAACTTAAAAGTTTAAAATTAAGTGTATATAAAAAAACTTTTGAGTTAATGCAGATTATTATTAAGATTGCGTATACTCCTTTAAGTGTTCTTTTATTCATTTTAAGATATTACTAATAATCTGACATTAATTTTATAAAATTAAATACAGTTCAATATATTGCAATTATTGCTTTAACTCTGCTCTTTGAGAAAACTAAATAGAATCTTGTATTTTTATTACATCATCAGTGAAAATTGATCTCAAAAAATACGATATAGTAGTCACATTTCCAGTGATAATGTTTAGATGATTATGATATTGTCAGATTTCGGACATCCCGTTTTTCAGACTGCAGTACAGAATCTACGGTTCTTATTTTTATCAATATTGGCTGGTCGTCTTCACAGACGAGATAAGTATTATGCTTACCAGCCTAGTGAGTTCACACTCACTAGTTGTGATTATCGAGTATTTTTATTCACAGTACAGCTTCTTGGTATTAAGAGAAGCGCAATCTTTACGACTTATTATTATAAAACGAGAAATTCTAAGTTGGAAGTTTCACATTAAAAACAAATATTTATTCTAATTATGTCTGTTAGAATCTAGGTAACGGTTTCTAAGAGTGAATTCTGAAATGGAATTTGAATATATTTTTTTATTATAATTCATAAATAATCAAAATAAATTTCTAAACTTTAAAGTGATTGCAAAGTAACAAAGTATATTATTAATCACCTAAATATGTAAATATCAAATTAAATTAAGTTAATGTATGAAGTTGAATATTTAAGTATATTAGTTATAGATTAATAAAAAATAACTGTCTGTAAATGGAATTCATATGTCTTTAAGTTTCATAACTACAATGTAGAGATATAATTATAAAGTTTCTATTATGGTTCTTTATTATGTTAGATCTAATTACTTTTATATACAGAATATTAACATTGTTTTGTTACCCGTTATAATATTTTATATAATAGCTTAAAAAACATAATATAAGATACCTACATAACTTTTTGCGTGTAAAAATGTTAAGCAATTTTAGAGATAAGGTCAAACTTTCTTATATATACATTATAAACCAGGAATATTATTTTTATGTTTACCACAATTAAATAGGCAATATATTATATACTTCTATGTATATTTTACATTTTAAAAATATTTATTAGTAGTCCTAATATTATTAATAACTTTAAACAGAAGTGTTGCCTATGTAATATATACTATGATTACTATCTATAGGATTACTGCTATTATACTTATTAATATAATTAGTTCATAGAACAATGATTCAATACCATTGATTGATATTAGTATGATACAATAGAACGACTAGGATTATAGATTTTAATGAAACATAAGGTACAGGTAGAAGGTATAATAAGGTACTTCAATGAAAAGAGTGAAGCAATAACTTCGCATGGAAATAAGAAAACCTCACAGACATTCCTTAGAGATAGGAAAATTGGATTTAAATTTAGACCTCAATATCCTCTGTAGATATAATTTATTAAAACTATCCAATATATCTACAGTACTTCAGAAAGTTGGTTTTTCATTAAGTGTCGGTTAAGGGATTATCGATATAGACAGAAACAAAATAGGGAATTATATTGTACAGACGCCAAATAACATCTTAAGGATAGAAGTGTAGTAACGAAATATAAACAAGATACGTAAATATAATAAAATATAGTATGTTGCTATATTTTCTTAATATGTAATCCCATGGGATATTTGTTGTTTTAAGTGTAATGTAATAAAAATAATTAAAATAATTGTAATTGATAGTACACTATCAGAAATTATACGGTACCGCTATTTAACTTTTTATAAATTAATTATTCACCTAATATTACATTATGTTTTCTAATTTACGTAACCTTTAATGCATAAATACAAAAGTAAAGGAATTAATAACACATAACATTTAAGATAATAAAACGAAATAATCATAATATAAACATAAATAAAACAAAAATACTAATATAATGTTTATATGTACATATATAACACAGACAAAAAGTGTACATACATATAATAAATATTATAACCTTACGTATAAATATACGCAATGTTATACGTATTTAAAATAAATTATTATTTTTTTACATTTTAGTTGGAAAGGTAACACTGAATTTAATGTACAAGGATCAAAGTAGATCTGTGTTTAATAGCCTGTAACAAGAAAGATTTAGAGACTAAGTTCGTACGATGAACAAGAACGTGCAAAAGTAGATTCTTAACCGCACGAAGGTTACGGTAAGAGATATCCCCATGAAAATGAAATTTGGTATTAAGATACTCATATATCTATCTGGTTTAAAAAGAAAGATTAGATACGTGCAAACAAATTTATTAATATACATAATATATATATATATATCAGTATGTTACTGCTTTAAATGCGTCATATAAGGCAGCAACGTTCTAAGTATTGAATTTTTTTTCTATTTTATAATATACTAAAAATAATAACTTTCACAATTCACACGGCGCCATCTAGTCCCAGGTTAAGCAGAGCTTGTGTTATGGGTACTAGACGACTTACAATACAATATATAGATTAGTTTTTTGTAAATACATACATAATATACACACAAAGTACCCCAAACCAATGAAAAATATCATACTCATGAATACAAATGTTTGTACCGAGCGAGGAATCGAATCTGCGACTATCCGAAATAAAGTGGTGTGCTAAAACGCTAGATCACCGAGGCTGTCTTTTTGATTTGATAACTTACCAATATCATATAACTTGCCTACATGCTCAGATTTACCTGAGCTGCGTCCAGATGACTATGATAAATACGCTATGCTAGGATCGCAGGCTCTCCCTAACTAACAATATTCTCATGATTGATGATATGATATCTTTTGAATAAACAAATTGTTAATTTATCAGTTTTATATAAAAGGTGGAAGGTGTAAATTTTATTATAAAGTTATATTTAATTTCATATATATTTACATTAAAATAAAAAAAAAAGTTAATTTTAATATATTATGTCCATAACATATATATTTCAAAATTAACTTTTATTATCAGTTGAATATAATTGAACTTAAAATAATAATATAACTTACATATTATTATTTTAAGTTCAATTATTAGTACTATTTATGTGTAAAACATGACGAGGTGATATTATTATTAATTTGCATCTTGATCGATTTTTTATTTTGTAAATGTATCAATTAGTACTGCAGATAAGAAGAGCACATCAAAGGACCGCTCGAATGAAAGGGCGTTTGCGTATTTACAAAAGGACCACCCAATTTTATTGCTAACGAGAAAGGGTCAAAGTTTAAGTGGTCTTTTGGTGTCGAAAAAGTAACTTTATATTGAAAATTCTCAATAGTACTATATTAGAATTAGCAATTACAATATATGTACAAGCTAAGGCTTCGCATTTAAATACTTAACTACAGTATGTTTTAACTGACTAGAATAAAATCTTTCGTCTTTCTCGATATTAAAAACACTTCCCTCATCCTACATAAAAATTAAGTATGTATATTTCTTTAAAAATACACACATCAAAATTGATCTGTTTTATTTCTTAATTAAAAGAATATGTTGTCACGTAATTTTTAAGCTGGCCACAAAGAGATGATTTATGAATTCTACGGAGTAACGCATAATGGAATGATTAATTAGAAAAAAAAATCCTATCCGATATTGATTAAACAATACTGTTATAGAATAAATCTAGTTTCCATAAGAATTAAAAATT